AGAGATTCTAGCCACCTGGCCTAACTGGCTTTCATTTCTTGGACCTGCGCAGCCTGTCTCGTAATTTCCTGGAATTGTATGGTCAAAAGATGTCACTGCACTTGAAGTGGTTTGAAGGTCAGTGCTCGCGCCAAATTACGATCTGGGATGATCTGGGATCGTTGTCCAGTGATCCACAATGCCAACATAAAAATAATTGCAAACAAAATGCAAACTTGGCAATGATGTTTCATCATCTGTGGGATAGTGCAAAACTGCACACCTGCACCTGGCCAAATGCTTCTTGGAGCCAGTGAGTTGGATCCCATCTAACTCAGTGGCGCCTTTGGCGTATGTCTCTACTGTAAGTAAGGCCTGCAAACGTCTCTACAGTGCATGTTTCTACAGCAGTCTACATAATATGTCTGCACAGTGTGTCATGGTTTTGGAACATCGTTGCAACTCGCACAGTGGATTTGTTCAATAAGCGGAGACCCATAGTGCTTTCCATACCTGTGGTTCACACTCTACTGTACCAAAATTTTAATTTCAACTTCCATTCTTTCAGTGGAAGCCCCTTCCAGTTGCCTGATCCACACTCAGAAACGACACAAAGCACGTCTTTCCGGTCCTGGTTTGTGCCTTGTGGAACAATAAAGCCAAAGCCCTGGCAAATGGCCGCTTCAGGACCGAAACGAATCCCTCGGAATCGCAAGCGAATGAAGTGATCTCCGTTGACGCTGCGACTCGAAATGTTTGGGAGCTTCTCGAAGTGACACCACGAAAACCTCGTCCAAAGCCACGCCTTGTCACTGTTGTATTTTTTCACCACTCCAGTGTGGGCCATGGTCACAAAACTCGAAAAGACTGCCTAAGCTGGAGCGAGAGAACCCTACAGTCACAGCAGCCGATTGTGGCCCCTGATGGCGATGGCCTCCAACCTAATGGCGATGGCTTCAAGCTAATGGCGATGGCCTCCAACCCAAAAATAGATGGCCTCAACCTAGTGGCGATGGCCTCCAACCTACTCCACCTGATGGCGATGGCTTCAAGC